ATCCAAACACTTATGTCTTAGATCTTCCAATGGCTATTGGTAAACCCAAATATATCCCATTTATCGCCTCTCTTATGTTGTCCAGTCCCTCCCTTGCCTCTTGTTTTATCTGCTCAGTGGTGTTTTTGCTATAGAAGATTGCTGACTTGTCAAAGTTCACTACCTGTCCAGAAGCTTTGCCATATTTTGCTAGGATGCTTTTCATTTTCAATGCCTCATGTTTGTTTCCTTTGTAGCACAGTAAGGAATCATCTGCAAAAAATATATGAGAAATAGCAGGACTATCCCTACAAATTTTGATTCCTATTAGCTCATTTCCTGCCACAGCTTTTATTAAGTAGATTGGATAACCTTTCAGGGCAGATAATGAACAGGTAGAGCGATAAAGAGTTCCCTTGTCTAATGCCTCTACTTGGTTTAATATGCCCTACTTTTAGCCATTTAAATTGAAGGAGTAAGACACAGAGGACAAACAAACCATGATCCATTTGACAAATATTAGACAGAACCCCATTTTCATCATAAGTCTCCCCAAAAATTTTCATTCTACTCTATCGTAAGCTTTGGACATGTCAAGATTAATAGCCATGAAACGAGTTTTTCCTTTTCTCTTATTTTTCAAAAAATGAACTATTTCATGAGCTATCATAACATTATCAAGAATTTGTCTACCTAGAATGAAAGCAAACTGTGAACAACTTATATAGTGCTATAGCATCCTTTTCAGTCGGTTTGCAATGATTTTCGAGGTGATCTTATATAGAACATTACATAAGCTGATAGGATTATAATTCACAATAAACATAGGTACTTCAGTTTTTGGAATCAAAGAGATGATGGTTTCATTCCCTGCTTTGAGCAGGTAACCAGTAAGAAAGAAACTATTTATAGCAGACACCAAATCCTCTTTTATGATATGCCAATAATGTTGGAAGAAAAGTGGAGACATACCATCAGTCCATGGGGCTTTTTTTAGATACATTGAAAACAAGGCTTGTCTAATTTCTTTTCTTCCACAGGCTTAATCAGCTGCTCGTTCATCTGGCCAGAAATAGTGCTTGGAATCTCTGCTAATATGTCCTCAAAGTTATCAGGATTAGTAGTGGTGAAAAAATTATTGTAGTTCTCACTTAGTTCCTCTTCAATCTCCTTCTCATTCTTACACCAAGTCCCATCATTTTTCTATAAAATGCTGATTGTGTTTCTTTTCCTCTTTGTCATCACACTTGTGTGGAAAAAAGCTGTATTTCTGTCACTTTCTTTTAGCCATCTGTTTCTTGATTTTTGGCTTCAATATAGTTCTTCCTCCTTGTATGCTTTGCTTAGTTGGGTTTTTATCTCTACAATTCGACCACTCTTGCCCATATCATTTCCATCTCTCACTTCATTGAGTTTCTCTTTTGGCTCATTTATCCTTATTTTTAGAGTTTCCTTGCATCCTTTTATTCCATTCCAAGATAGCAACCCTACATTCCTTTATTTTCCTGGTCACTTTGTACATTCTGGAGCCTGTGAGAGCCTTACTCCATGCCCCTTGGATCACCTCCCTCGATTCTGAATTCTTAGTCCATTTTTGGTCAAAATAAAACCTCTTTTTTCTCCTGTTTCTCTCTGGATTAGTGTCCATAATCAGGATGAAATGGTCAGATGCTTCATTATCAACATGTGTACACAATGCTTTTTCAAACTTTTGCATCCATTCAACACTGCATGGGTATCTATCCAATCTCTCTTTCACTTCCACATCCCCCTCCCAGCAGTTATTCCACGTCCATGGTACCCCTTGGTAACCTATATCAATTAGGTCATTACCTCTTATGAAACTATTAAAGTCCCTAAAACTACCTTCAGCCCTCTCTCTCCCTCATTATTTCTCCCCATTCGACTTTATATCATTGAAGTCCCCCACCACTATCCAAGCTTCTTTCCAATCCTTTTTCCTGTCTTCTATATGTTTCCACTGTTCCTTCCTGGTATTACTATCAGCACTTGCATAAAAACACACAAACCATCAATGGTTTTTTGTTTCCTTGTCTTCGATACATGCAACTATATACCAGTCAGTATTGCTCACTTGGTCAATGGAGACATCATTGTTCCAAAATAATACTAGTCCCCCTGCTCTACCTATTGAGTTAACAAAATATCCATTCTCAAACCTGATTTTCTTCTGCACTTGTCTCATGTAATTTTCCTGATTTTTTGTTTCACACAAAAACACTACATTAGGAGAGTGGAAGTTATACTTCATTCAGTTGAAAAATTGTCAAGGGGCCTCCGACACCTCGACAATTTCACGCCGCAGCCTTCATTTACACCTTGGAGACATAAAAGGGTTAGCCTCCAATTCCCCAGTTGACATTGCACTGTTTATTTCTATTTTCATCGCTTTCACTTTTGGGATATCTGCTGCATCTTTCTCCATTGGTTGTGTTTCTTGTTGTAGGGCCTCTACTTTCCTTTTTCCTCCCAGTTCCCCTAACAAGTCCATGTTTGTACTCACTTGTAGTGGGGTTCTGTTTTGCATCACTCTTCTTTTGAATTGTCTCCTTTCTTTCTTCTTGATGTTGTCACTAGCAAGTGTTACTTCCTGCTTCATCTTCATCTCCTCTAGCCCTTCCCTTTCTTCTACCATTATCATATGTTTTCCTATTTGACATCCATTGTTCTCCACCTCCATAGATTCCTGCACTATTACTTGGTTCATAGTGCTCCCTTCTTTGGGTTCCTCAATTGCCTTGTTTGTTTCCTTTTTCTTCTCTTCGTTAGTGGGCATATTCTTTGTTTCCTCCTTCTGGCTCTCTTTTTTCTGGTCTTTCTGGTCCTGTAAGAATTGAACCATCTATTATCGTACACGTTTCTTCTCATGTGTTCTTGGTCTTTCGCTTCCTTTTTCTCCATCTCTATATGGTTCCTTCTATCAGCTTTTATCTTGTTGTCCTTCATTCTAAACCCAACTATTAAGTGATTGCATCTGTCATCTTTCTCCATTTTCTTGCTTTCTATCTCTTTTACTGATTCCACCCTTCCTTTTAATGGTGATACCATGATGTTCCCTACTCTCATCCATGCACCACATTGCTCCTCTTGCTACATCAATCCTTCTCTTCCTGCCACATTACATAACCTGTTACTATGTCCTATGACCTCGCAGTTGTAGCAAAAGTCCGAACAACGTTCATACCTAAACTCAACCCATACTACCTGATCTTTACTTTTTATTTTAGTCCCTTTGATCAGTGGTTGAGTCACATCTATTTCAACCATTATTTTCATGTGCCTTCCCTCTTTCTTTTCAGTTGTTGGAATTATCACCTCTCTTACAGAATTGAAGATCTCCCCTAATTTAAAGCCAACTGCTTTGCTCATCCAATGGATAGGGAGATTCCATCATTGTACGCAGAGAAACGCATGTTGAAAAAATGTTCTGTCCCTTTTGCAACCCACTTCCCATTCCTTTACTATGAGTACTTGATTATCCATTATCCATGGCCTACCTGACAGGATCTTTTTCTTTTTTTTTTTATCTTCTTCATCTTCCAGATGAAACTGGAACAAATTTGGGCCCAACTCTATTATTTTCATCTTCCTGGGGTATCCCCATACATGGTTGGTGAAGTTTTAGACCCCTGTGAAATGAGCAACTTTTTCCCCCAACGAGTTTTCCAACCAGGCTGTCATGGCACCCTTGTATGCCTTCATCAGTGTCATCCCCACCCAGATCCACACCCTCTATATCCTTTTCCGATAGCTCAAACTTTTGAAAGGCTCTTGCTAGGGATTCTTCCATCTTGGAGAATGTATTAGAGTGATGACAAGCACTATTTCTTGGACAATGAACTACTCAGCTGGTTAAACCTGCTAAAGAGGCAGACAGACAAGCAAACAATATTACCAGTGAATCCAAAAGTAAATAGCAAAGATATTAGAGAAGTGAAAGTTTAAAGGGTAAAAAACAAAAAAGCCCCCTGTGGTAAGTCTAATACACAGAAAAGCCCCCTATGGTTTCAAAATATACAACACGATACCTTATGCTTTGAACTAAATTGTAAAGGTGACGGAATCCGTTAAATTTAACGGAAATGACTTATTGGAACCTAAAAAAAAAATTTTATACTTAATTTTTATCAAATATACCTATTCTACCCCTTAACCCTCAATTCTCTCTATTTAGAGAATAAAACAAATGATTTTTTTGAGCTGTCTTTTGCTTAATTATATCAGGGTATTTTGGTCATTTTGTCCATTTCCGTTAATTTTAACGGATTCCGTCACCTTTACAATTTAGTTCAAAGCATGAGGGGTCGTGTTGTATATTTTGAAACCATGGGGGGCTTTTCTGTGTATTAGGTTTACCACAGGGGGCTTTTTTATTTTTTACCCAAGTTTAAAAATAGGTTGGTGGAGTCGACCGGCTCAAAAAGACGAAACAAAAGACTAAACGTGAGAGAATTAAAGAAGCCACAGTTCCGACAGAGAAAGTTAGTGCTCCACAAATTTGTTAAATGGATCATGTTTTGTTCTAGCATTTACTCCACCAATTACTAGTCTTGATCTCTGGTTCTAACTAGTATCGATTCTGAAATTTTGCGATGAAATCTGGGTTGGGGCCAAGATAGTATAGTGTTGGGGATTTGAAATTTGGGGTTTGAAATTTTGAACTTGCTAAAAGTTTCTACACCAAGAAGAGGTTCTCTAAAGTTAGAGAGAAGGGCTCTCAAATAGAGAGAGAGGCTCTTCTTATTACATAGTCAATAAGACGTTTCTAAATACACTAGCTATTAGCTGTTGTTACAATTGGTTAAATTGATGCCAATTCCTAAATATGTCGGGGAATCTGTAATTAAAACTTTTTTTTGGTACATAACTTGAAAGGTTAGTACGGTCATTTCGTGTAGCCAAATTGGCTGCAATTTGCATCCGAATTCTATAAGGGTTGCAAGTTAATTAATCAAACTTGAGCGGAACAAGACACAATTGTCTCAGATATTATTTTACTTTTTACCACAACGTTTAAAAACCTCGCCTTAAACCCCACTGAACCGGACGGAAAATTAAACAGGCCGTAGTGATAAAACCCTGAAACCAAGAAGTTCGTGGTAATTGGGACAACGGAGATGAAGGAGGACGAGAAGAAAGAGTTGGTAACGCCCGGGGAAGTGTTGGGGACGGCGTCAGAGTTAAAAGCAGGGAAAGGTGCCTATTTCTCAGCCAATGATAAAACCATTTACGCCTCCCTCACTGGATTTCGCTCTATCATCCCTGCTCCTATTGACGCCACTGACCAGGTATATATTTTTTAAATGTTAAAAATAATATTCTGTAGCGGTTGAACCTTGATGTTTAGAACTGGAATATTTTAGACACTTTAATTTCTGCTTAAGAGCATGCAGCCTTCTTCTACTTCTTCTTTTTCTTCTTTGTTTTTTAATTATTATTACATGTCTTAGTGAGCTGCAAACAAAGTCTTGAGTTGTTGATTTAAATGGTTTTGTGGGTCTGGAGCTTTTTTGTGCTGCAAATTATGAAGGGCTGTGTTTGGAATTTGTATTATGTGGAAATCTAGCTTAACTTGAATAGGAAAAAATGGTTAAAATTTGTAATTGCAGTTCTGACAGAGAACCTAATACAGCGTTAATGTATCTCTACCATGTTGTTTGGATAAAGTTGAATAGCTTAACGCATGGTGATGTTTGAACGTTCCGACTGAAGAGGTGATTAACGAGTTATATGGCAACAATGGAGCCTTTGTTTGGTTTGAGGAAATTCGGGAGGGAGGATAAGCTGATGGTCTCAGAGGGAAAGGAAGAAGTTTTCAGATTAATAAAATGAAGACGGGAAAGATTCAATTTTGTTTTTGGAATTCAGAGAAGATAATGTTGGTTCTTTTGGTATTAAAGAAACCTTTTTATTGTTTTTCTTGATCCAGATTTTGCCCCATTTTGGAACACAAACAATCATTGATCTTTGAATGGCTTGTTCTTCCTCTTGTTTTCCTGGCTTTTGTTTGTCAAAATCAATCCAATGACAAAAGATTGAGAATCTCGTAATCCTGTTCTTTGTTTACTATATTACTTCAAAGTGTCTGGTGCGATTTTGATTTTAAGTAACCAGGATTCAGGATTGGAAATAGGATAATATTGTAAAGTTCTGGATTTGGTTAATATTTTCTGCTCATGGATATACTTTTTCTCCGTCCTCTATACCTCTAAGAATGCCTTATTGTGGTTGTACATGGAATGCAAGGTTTAATTGCAGCTTTTTCTTCTTTTTTTTGTGGATCATTACCAGAGACCAACTGTGGAAGTTACTGGCCACAAAGCCCATGGTGCTGTTCCTGAGCCTGGGTCTGTTGTCATTGCTAGGGTAAGGTTTTGGTCTCATATTTTTCTTTTATTTTGTTTCTGGCTGATGCTCATGCTATATCTAGTTATGATATTTATAAGTGCCCCTAGAGAATTAGTATGTTTTAATCAGTAGGACTTGTGATGTAGCTTGAAGCAGCAATTGTGGATAAGAAAGGATTTCGGGATGGTTAGTTATAGATATTGTTAACGATATAATGATAGAAGCGAGCAGCCAGCAATGGGATTTTAGAAGAAAGCAAAAAAGGAAGAGGAAGAGTAGGAATTTCTATAAATCCAGCCGAATTTTCCATCCCAAGGTAAAGTTGTTTGGAGCTTCCAAAGAAAGCTGAATTAACATCATTAAGCCACCGTATTATTATTATACATTTCATCACCTCATATACTAGTTTCTACTGACGTACATAGATGCCCACATATGTAAGACTTCTTAAGGAATAGTAACAACTAAGGAACTAGAAGCTAAGGAACCAGCAAGCCAAATTTTATCAAAGCACTTCTTAGAGTTTGACCCAGCACTACAAAAACCCTAATTTTAATGACATAGTCTGGCTTGGACAAAAGACTTCCTACTTGGGACACATTGACCTATTTCGGTACTCTCTGAAGGTGAAAAATTGCTTTTCAATCACTAAATTCCTAATAAAATGAAACTATAACTAATTGCTCAAAATCAATCTAAAGTGCATTACAGTTATCATAAACAGCAAGAAACTGACAGAATCAAGTCATCGACCAGTGTCTGTAATTTGCCCTAATCCTTTATGGTGTCTAATGTCTCTTGTATCATCATGTCTGGTTTATGTTTATCTCTGGTATAGAAAGAACCACGGTTTTCTAGGTAACCCTTTCTATGTTTCTGTTGTTTTTTCTATAGATAACAAAAGTGATGGCTAGAATGGCTTCAGCAGATATCATGTGTGTTGGTCCCAAGTCCGTAAGAGAAAAATTCACAGGCATCATCAGGTAAGGGATTTTGGTAAGGCATCATCAGTTAAGGGATGGATGCTACCCAACCATCCCTACCCCATCTTATCTCTAGTGACTTCGTCCAGTCAGCACTTAAGCTAACAATTAATCTCTCTGTGTTTCTCTCTCTCTCTCTCTCTCTGTATGTGTGTGTGAATCATTGGCTAGATAAATTTTTATGGTAGGCTCATGTCAATGGATTTCCTCTTTTCAATTGCTTATTCATATGTCTTTGTGAACTATGCTTGTATTCTTAATCCGGAACAATATCTTTTGGTTCTGTACAATAAGATATATGATACTTGGAGTCATACTTAGAGATGTTACAAATTAGGTGTTACTCTTGCATTTCTGTATCCCGTTAAGTTTTATAATGATATCTGCTCATATTGATGTTTCTTCAGTTCATGGGAATTGAAGTACCATAGAACTTCTAATTACGCACCTTGACACTAATTTTGTTGAATAGGCAGCAAGATGTAAGAGCAACTGAGATTGACAAGGTTGAAATGCATGCTTCTTTCCACCCGGGTGACATTGTTAGAGCGCTGGTTGTATCCTTCATGTCTATAAATTTCATTTTCTTAACATTTATTCTTCCTAGATTTATTGTCTTGGCTGAAGTTTTTCACATAGCAAAGCAGTACTGGTAGGATAGGCCTGGACACGTGATGCTTATCTTGAATCTCTTTCAGTGTTGGCTTATTTTATCATACCAAACTGGATGACACGTCTCAAGCACTTGAAATTGGTTAATTTATTGCAAGGCAAAGTGTATCCAACTGGATGATTTTCTCACATTTATATGATCAGCATAGGTATGTTGCAGTGTTTAGTACTTAAATTAAAAAAAAAAAGAGGTTTTTTATGAAAGCAAAAAAGTTATTTAAACCATAGCTGCTCCCTGGTCTAGCAAAATGGTGGAATATTACTTGGCTTTCTAGAGAAATTTTTTTTGAATCTTTTGTGTTTAAATTTATGTGCCTTTTGTTGGTTAGTGTAACATGGTTGTTCTGTATGCATCAGTTTAATCACATTTACAGATTTTAGTTTCTTTAACCTCTTTCATCAGCTGTCCCTAGGGGATGCACGGGCATATTATTTATCTACTGCCAAAAATGAACTTGGTGTTGTATCTGCTGAAAGTTCAGCAGGTAGAGATTCCTGAATCATTTCGTCTGTTTTCTTATGGGATAGTTACCTTGATGATCCATATATCTTAAACTTGTTGCTGTTTGAATTACATAGTTTTGTCTATATACTCATAGTGTCAGTATGTGATTCTGCTCTGTGCTTGTTGAATATTTTTGATAACTCATGTAATTGCAATCTCAAAATGCATTTTTGTGATGGTAGAAGAGGGAATGAAGCTGTTGTTTGGACAGTGAGGAACTGGAAGAACAAAAATTTGTAAGTGTGAGAAAATAAACACTTGGTTGATAGTTTCATAAGGAGTTATAATAAAACATTAAATATTCAAGCATCTAAGAGCCAACAGAAGTCCAAATTTTCATACACACACGTAGGAAAGACAAGTCATTTTGAGTGCGACTTGGTAAAATGCTTTCCATTAAATGTACTATTAGATGTTCAGTTAATGGTTATTTTTGTCCGACTCAAATGTTCAGTTAATGGTTATTAGTTGAATGATATTGTTTGTCCTTTACATTCTTGTTTTTGAATTTTGTAGTAACATCTTTTATCTGATTTTGGATCTTTTTTCCCCTTATTGTAGAATACAATACATTTCCAAGCCTAGACTCTAGCATATATGACTTTGGTTGAAATGTTTGCCAGTTATTATTCTTTTAGAGGCACGTATACTTAGCTGTTCTTTCCATGTTTTGGTGTTGTTTTAGTTGTTCTTTCCATGTTTTGGTGTTGAAATGTTGTTTTAGAGGCACGTATACTATAAAAAAATTGGAAGACAAAATGTAGGCTTTACATCTATAATGTGCTGTTTGGTGTTTGAAGTCTTCCCATTTTTTACTTTTTCGGGGTCATATGCTCATTACAACCTTGCAGACCCAATGAAAGAAAGCATAGAGCACAGCAGTTAAGAAAGTTTGCCGGAACCTTACAGCCTTGCAGCCTGGAACTACTACACATATGACATGTTCTTTATTTACCTGATAACCTTTTAAACAATGACCTGATGGCAAACTTTGGGCCATTTCAAACTGTTATTGACCTCAAATGTGTTTTCATGTCAATTGTTACTTGGTACCCTAGTAATCCTCTAATTTTTACTTGTGATTTCATCACTGGATGCACTCAGGAGGTTTACATGACTTCTGATAGCTAGTTTAAACTTACAGGTGGGGAAATGGTTCCAATTAGTTGGACGGAGATGCAGTGCCCATTGACTGGTCAAATTGAGCAGAGAAAAGTCGCGAAGGTTGGAGCATAACATTGAACAGTGGCAAAATCTCTGCACACCAGCTTCAATGCCCTTCTATTGTTGAAGATGGAGGACATCCTCCGATTTCTGTGCTGTGGCTTTTCACCTGTAATTTTTGCCTCGTACTAGTCCCGGTTTCTATGTTGACTATATCCATTTCTTGTATGCTTAGTAGTATCAAAAAGTTAATTGTTCACGTTCTTTTGGTGCGCCAGTTGTTTTTGAATAATTTGCCCTTGAGCATCTATGATATGCCTCTGGTTTGGTGTATTTACTATTTTTTGAATATGGAGAATGGTTTTTGAAGTGTTTTTGATAAAATTTTCTGCAAAGTGTCAAGCGTGACAATTTACGAGTAAATGTCAAAACAAGTTGACTCAATTGGTAAGAACGATCATTTTCTTGTAAATAATTATATGTTTGAATTTTTCTGCCAATGTAAAAATTGTGTTGGTGAACGATTTATAAAAACCTTCACAAACGACCTATGATTTTGGAAGAGCTGACCAAACATTTTCTTACCAAAACAAAGACATAAGCTGTATTAGCAAGTGTGTGTGTGTGTGTGTACGACAACAAGCTATAAAAGTAGTTGGAGAAGTTCTCTTTTAGAATTTAACCAGTAAAAATATCAGACGGGTACATTTCTATTTTCTAGGATAAACGAACTCTATTGATCTTTTCCCTTAAAGCACACAACACTGTCCAAAAGCCTTATCCAAATGGACCCCAGAACGTTTTCTGTAATTTCACTCACAACGAACTGAAACTAGTTAAGCTGCCAAAATTTGCGTGGCAAAGCAGCAATTCCCAGTCTACGACAGGACAATGGCTTCATCCTTATCACATCTGCTGCTCCTCATCAAACCTCCTTCCAATTTCCCTTCCGCCCAAAACGTTTTCTTTCTCGGAACCCCACAACCTATTGCGTCCCGCCCTCATTCCAGACCTTTCTTCAGAAGAAAGCTACCCACTAAAATCCCTTTTGCCATTACAGAATCAGGCTCTCCCAAATCCCTTGACCCGGACCCAAAATCCCTTCTTCAAGAACTTGCTGTAAGCATTTTACATCTCTTCTCTCGTATTTTCAATGTGCCCTGCATTTTTGTTTATTTTTGCTAATAAGTTTTTCGTTCGGGGTCGCATTTTGTTCTTTTGGCTGTTTTAATTGGCAGGAGACTTTTGTTCTTCCAGCAGATTACTTTTCTAAGCTCCCTCGTGATCTTCGTCTAGATGTAAGTGGTATCATGTTAAAAACATGTTAGTATGGAGACGGTAAACATGCAATCATTTTGAAGGGTCATGATTGATTGGGATAAATTGCTCCGCTTACAGTTGAATGATGCAGCTTTTGATCTTTCAAATGGACCAGTTAAAGATGAGGTAATTTTTTCATCATTTCCTTGATTAACTTCTGCAACTGCATCGGAAAGTGCTCAATTTCTGCTGTTAGATGCTTCAAAACGATTGTTTGGATATCGGTACCCAAAGGTACTCATTTATGGGTCTTTGCAATAATATTGATATTTAATTCTATATTTAAAGAATATTGATAGTTTTGTATGGTTTTCATAAATAAATAGATAAGCAGATAAAGTTTAAAAAAAAAACCTGCATTTGTGCTCAACAAAAGCATCGGTATTTCTTAAATTTAGAATAAGAACATCAATGTTTTTGTAAAAGAACCCTGCATTCGGGCTTGAAGTTATAGCATTTCATCTTAACTCTGAATAAGATAAAGAAGGTAATACTTCATATTTGTGTCTGTATCTCAGTAGTGAAGCATCATCTTGTAAATAGAGGTGGCAAATCAACCCACTTAAATAAATTTATCCATATCCGCCCATGAATATATGGGTATGGGTATCTTAAATTTTTGTATATGGGTATAAATGGGTTACCTAATAATACCCATTTATTAAATGGGTATTATTGGGTAACCCATCAAACCCAATTAACCCATTTAAAATTCTCTTCCCCTAAATCTCTTCTTTTCCCCCACCCATTTTTTTTTCAAATTTTTCATTTTGTCATAATGTTAACTACTTTTGTTTCATTATTATTATTATTTGTTAGTTTTATTTTATTATTTTGTTTTAACTTGCTCATTTTTCGGCATTACCAATTTATGATAAATTTGAGCCTCTTTTCTTATCTTTCTAAAATGAAATTTTAAATTTATATATGGAAAAAATGTTAGGGGTTAAAAATTTTTGGATTAAATTTTTATATTAACTTTTATAGTACTTAGTTCAAATTTTTATATTCTTATTATTCAATTATTAAATAATATGTAATTTTGTGAAATAGAGTATAAATGAAAAAAATTTGGTAATTAGGCTTATTGAATATTATAAGTAAATATTTAAAACTAATGATGGGTACAAAGAGCGGTATAAATTGATAACTTAGTTTGCAAAAATGAATTTAAATGAATTTACAAAAAATTAAAATAAATGGGTTATAAATGGGTAATTGGGTTACCCAATTCATTTTTTGACTTACCCATTTATACCCATCTAATTAAATGGGTATAAATGGGTTGACTCACTTATACCCATTACCCATTTTACCCAACCCAAACCCGCCCAAGTCACCCATTTTGACACCTCTACTTGTAATTGAAGTTCATTGTGATGTTACTTACTAATACCGTGCTTTTGCTTATCTTTTTCAAAATTTTGGTGTCCATCCAATTTAGAATGCCCGTTCATAAGAATATAGGTGCAAAGGTTAAGTCTGTTTTGTTAAAGACTCGTCTCTTTGAAGCCTTTTGCTCTAATTAGTCGAAAATAAGTTGTATAACTTGGTGCTGCAGAGTTCTTTGTTTGTCCACCATTTTACGTTTTCAAAAATGTTGGCTTTTAGATGGGTCCATGGGATGCTAATCATTTGTCCAGAGTTAGTATACTGGCTAGTGAATAGAAGCCATCCAGCATGGATTCTTATCTGCTTTGTATGTGATGTAATTGGTTATATCTCCTCTGATACAAGAAAGTCAACCTATTATTGATTTAAAAACCTGCAGACCAATTATGATATACATTTGCCCTAGACATTTCTATCATCTGCAATGATAAATGAAGCCAATAACTTGAGGGATTTTTTTTCTGGCCATGCTACCTTGATGCTGTCTTTGCTTATTTCAGCACTTTCTGCATGTTAATCTTACTGCCTGGAAGCTTGATGGAGCTTGCTTTGCCAAGAAAAGGTTTTTGTGATCTTGGTGAATTTCTTTGCTGTTTGAACATGACATAAGTGGTTCTAATTGCTCACTGATCCGTTCATATCTTATGGTGATTGGAAAATATTGTTATCCAATTAAAGGGCCCTTTGGAACTTAAGCATTTGAATTTTACTGGCAGTGTGGTGAAGATCTTGGAGAAATATTGTTAAATATAAGTCGAGCATGGGAACTGGCAGAGGCATCGACTTCTGCAGCTTTAGTAAGCAAGTTACCCGTGATGGTGGACTCATTGACAGATGGGAATAAATCAGGCAAGAAAAGAGGCTTATGAATAGGGTGTTTTGTATGTTGTTGTATCTCCAATCTCTAAGTGAATGCTTGAGCTTCTCTCTGCTGATATTTGTGTTTATTGCTAGCTAGCACTTGGTAAGCGCCTAATATCTGCTGGAAGAAGGTTCCAGTCCATGGGGAAATATGGTCAAGGCGAGCAAGAAATGGTATTTTCACTTTTGTGTCTTTTGTGGACCTACGGAACTAGAACTTTGACTGTGCAAGTGAAGGCATGTCTTTGTGGTTATAGTAAGATTTTGTCAAGTTTGTGAATGAAAAAGCATGCGAACTTATGTACTTGAGCTGCTGTTCAACAAGCCTTAATTGTTTAGTATACTAGTCCTTGATGTTCAATCATATCAGCTTTTGCATTTTCATGTCAACAAACAGCCTTGTTGGCATCTAACCCAGAAATTTACCTTCTCCTCTTAAAAGGAGACTGGCATTATTTTTCCTTGCTTCTTCAAATTTTTTGTCCAGATCAATGGTGACCTTCGTTGCTCAAGCAAAGGTCTTTTACGTAGTCTACCCCTCCACGTAAACACCATGAGATTCACCATACGTGCATTTTCATTTGATCTTTTTCATTTTTGACGTATGAATGGATGCTCAATCAGTATAGATTGCCAAAGTTATGATTAGGACGGGGAAGTTTTTATCTGCAAGAGCAGTAACTACAGTGACTAGTGCAGAACCAAAGCAGGAAACTAGGACTCTGAAGGTTTGTGTCTTGCAGTTATAGGAAGTGAAGATTTTACATAACTATATCAGGAGAAATTTGCTAATGCAACAAGTCATCTTGGCACAGTTTGGAGAGCTTCAGGTTGAACTGACTCCAGATAAAGCCTACATTGGGGCTGTTATAGGCTTGCTTTTCAGGTAAGTTTTTCCCTTTAATTATTTATATTCTACTTCGTTACTGTAAAAGAAGCCTAGACAGTCATGTTCACTGTTTCATGTTTGAAATACAGCACTCTGTCATGGGGATTAAGTCAAGGCATCGAAAGTATACCAGAGAGCTCATTGCAATATGCAAATGACAATGCTTTGCTGCTTGCAAAGGTGCTTGATAGTTATATCACTTGATTGCAAGTTATCTGGTTCCTTGTGCATACTCTATAACAGTAAATCTCGTTGCAGTCATTGCGAGGAGCACTACTTGCACTGTGTTATTCATCTACGCTCTTGTCCGCTTTCACATCTGTGGGACTTCTCTTGCTTGGAGTACAACTTGGTTCAAAAGAAAAGTGATATTATTAGGATCTAATGATGGTCATGATGGTTCTGATACTAATGGATTGGATCAACGATCATTTTATCTGGGCTAAAAGCTGATGCTCATAGTCCTTAATCGAGTAATATATTGCTCTACATTTTTGGTTTCCATTTCTGGTCATTTTCTTGAGTTTACCTCTTTGTCATTGGTCTCTGAGAACGTGTAATTGCTCTGAATGTCAAAGCTGTGACATCTGATGAACTTTCAACTCGAAGCATGCTTTACTTGACATGGGAACAATGTATATTAGAATTGTTTTCCCTTTCAATGCTTTTAGCTTTAGACTTTTGACAGAATTGATAGCATAGAGAAACATTTTTGCTTACTGAAACTGGTGATGGATTGTTCACCTGCTACGGTTTCTTGTCGCCATCATAGTGACAACAGACACAGAAAAACAGATGGTGCAGCGGCGACGGACGCCACATAATTAAGCTCATTTGACTTTTTTCTGTGTTTTTTTTCCTTGGATTCTTCTGCATCATCCAGTGAG